GACACCACGGCACTCTAGCCCGGGCTACACAGTGAGACTCTGTCTCAAAAAAAAAAAAAAAAGAATAGAAAGCTGGTGAGCTAAACATATGCGTTGCAAACCTGGTGCAGGTCCGTGAGAGAGTGAGAGGGAGCGGCCTATTATGGCTAATGTTCAACTGCAGTTTAATGTTCAAAATCGTTACATTACATCTAGCGCAGTGGCTGGCACCCTGGAGGAGCTCAGTAAACATTTACTAAATGAAAACAGAATATATTCATTTGGGGGAGGGAGTCACTCTCAATTTCATAATTCATTCTTTACTGACTGACCTCATAAATTACCTTTAGCACCTCCAAGGGAAGCGGGTCTATGGAGATAAAGTTCAGTTTTGTGAAAACCATTCAGCAGGTGCTGGGGAAAATGCTACGGAACCTGGGCTGGGTCAGAGGAAGCTTGCTGAAAGCCGCGAGAGAGACATCCAGAAAGCTGTGTTCTAGAGGTTACAGAGGCATTAAAAATGCCACCAATCTTTTTCTCTCTCAGACCACCACAAAGAACACAGACACATCTTTTAAACACCTTCCAGCAGTTATGCTCTTAGAACCAAAAGAAACATTGTTTCTCTCTTTGACAGCCACTTAGGATCCAGGAATCTGAAAACAGAAGTGTTTCTACCACTGTACTTCACACAAGTTCAAATTTAGATTTGGAAAACCCCCAAATTTTTAGTGCTGTCTTCTTCCTAGGGGCAATCTCTCTCTCAGTCTCGCTAGGCAAGAAGGAAGAAACAATGCTCATCTCAGTCACACACGAAGTCTGCCGTCCCCACAGACAGCACTTCCTCAACGCGAGACCCATGGACATACCGAGTCGCACGGCGTCTCCACAGTCCGGGTCATGAGCAACTTGGAATAGAGTTTCGTCCACATCTCTGTTTTTCCCAGGAGGGTCCATGATATGATTTATCTGTTGCTGTAAGGTTTTGGGCAATGTCATTAGCTGAGTGAACTGTCCTTCTGGGCTTTTATCTATCTGAGGGGAAAAAAAAAAAGATGACATCTATGGAAGTGCTTTGAATTCTATAAATATTCAAAGACACAGGGCACTATTCGGAATCACACAAACACGCACGCACCCATATCCCTGGTTAGGCAGTGTGCTAAGGAGACTCTCTCTCCTTTCTGAAACTGAACGTTTAGGTGTTCAGGAGTCTAAGTCCCTTCAAAAAGGACTATTCTTTTCCTAGAATATTCCATTTCTACAAGCTTCTTTCAAGGATCCATTTCTGACTTTTGGTTTTAAAATTTCTACTTGTCTTAAATCCATAGTCAAACGAAGTGTGGCTATAGCCAAGATTTATCAAAGTCCCACCGAATCCAGGCACTCATATTATCCCACTTTAAATGCAGGGGGACTGAGTAACACGCCCAGGATCATATGGTCAATAACAGAAAATGGGATCTGATTTAGTGTCTCCTGCCCTTAGGGCCTTTTACATACCACGTTGTATTTCACAAACTGTAGGAAATATACTGGTGACACAGACTAATTTATTAACTTTTAATCCCCTGACATATATAGTAGCTACTCGAAAAACCGTAGAATAAGGAAATGAGTAACTGAATCAATACAACTTAGTTGTCATTATTTTTTAAATAGGAGTAAACTACGCCAGTGGTTTCTGCTTCCAATGTATTCTAAAATGCATTAAGCTGTTGAAAGGTAAATACAGAAATAAAACATAGATAAAACTACGCATCACACTTTACTTGGAAATCACTGAATCAAAAGTTAGCCACAGCTGAGGCCAGACCTAGTTTTCCAAACTCCCAGTCTAATATACTTTGCCTCATGGAATTAAATTTTTAAAAAATCATGTAAACATTGCTTGCCAAATGCAGAACCAGTAACACTGCTCAACAGCTCAGCACAGTATTTTCCAAGTAAGAATCTGTTTTGTATTCTTTTAATATTAGGTCATTAAATATGAAATGTCCAGTTTTGAATCAAAAGTGTAGTTTATTACATTGCAGACAAGAAGCAGTACAATTAACCAAAGTATGCACCTAAAATATCAACACAGTTTTGCCATCTCAGTGGTAGCTTGTGTATGCCAGCAGTGAAGCCTGGAGAGCGAGTGGCGATGAAATTGTGAAAGGCGTTCTCCACAGCTTGTTGAGAATTGAATATTTTTCCTTGCAAGAAGTGGTCCAAAGTCTGGAAGAAGTGGTAGGCAGTTGGTGCAAGGTCTGTTGAATACAGTGCATGACAGAGAGTTTCCAGGTCTAGCTGCTGTAGTTTGAGCAGCGTTGTTTGTGCGACATGTGCTTGAGCACTGTTTTTAAGAGTATTGGCCTGTCTCTATTAACCAATCTCGGCTGCTTAACCACAAGCATCCTCATCATTTCATCCAATTGGTTGTGGTAGACATCCGCTGTAATCGACTGACCAGGTTTCATGAAACTGTAGTGGTTAATACCAGCGCTGAACCACCAAACAGACACCATTAGCTTTTTTTGATGAACATTTGGTTTTGGACTGTGTTTCAGCACTTCATCTTTGTCCAACCATTGTGCTGAACGCTTGCGATTCTCAAAGAGAATCCATTTTTGAGGCAAGACAGCTGACCTGAAACACCAGCTGCCAGAACGTGTTAGCAAGAAGAAGTTTTAGATGACAGAGAAAAAACATAGATCAGATGAGGGTCTGAAGGAAAGGTGCCAGAACCGTCTGGAGACTCCACAGGAAGAAGTTGTGGTGCAGAACAAAAAGGAATAAGCTATCGGCAAAGATCAACCCCCAAGAGGCTTGGAGTCCAGAGAGAAGGGTAAGTGGAGCGGTTTGTTTCTCCCACCCCCGCATCTCTGACAGTCAGTAGTAGGTTCTTGAGCTGCTGGAGAGACTTGTTGCCCACATGAGCCCAGAGGTTGCTGCCGCCAGTGAGTTGGGAGCTTCTTGTGGACAGGGCACCAGGCTCCCAGCAAGCACCATCTACTGACAGGAAGCTAAATTTGCATGCCCTTTACAACATTTGCTTATTCAATTTTACAGGGTGTGAGGGGGTCCAAGGAGTGGCCATTTGGAGAAGTGCCTACTCCTCCCCACAGAAAAATTGTGCTACCGGATAATGGTGGCAAGAACCCAGCCCGGTGTCTTAGCACACATGCATTTAGCCCCCTCCCTTGGGAATAGCCCTCCTAGTTAGGAGAGCCTGTTCTGACCCTCCTACCAGAGACTCCCCCAGTGGCCAGAAAAGCAACTTCTAAGCCAAGCCAAGGCTTTGCAAAGCCTTTCAGGCTCCCACAATCCAGCCATGATTTGTCTTGCTCCTCCCCCCAACTCAGGGGGAGTAGAGACCAAGCAAACCTCTAGGACCTACAGGGTCCCTCCTAAAGCATTCATATGCCCCACCTGGGGAACCAGAGCTTACCATGGGCACAAAAGACCTTCTCGGCAGCTTGCTCCTCCATGCAAACATCAATGACAGGGGGAATAACTCCATAGCTAAGCACAGCGCCTCCCAATGCAAGGAGACAGGAAACAGCTGATTCATAATCAAAAGTACTACCCACCATCACCAAGATTAAGGCGGGGGACTTAACTCACTTCACACTGTTGGGAAGAGGTAAAGACAGCAGGTCAGAGGTAACCCAAGAGGATCACCAAACCTGCTACAACACCCCATAGGCAACTCAGGATCAGCAGTCCTCTCCCAGGCACACTCAGGGATTGATCTTTGAGGACTCAGAGACAGGCCTGTAAGCCAGGCCTAGCACCCACAGGTCTCAACCGAGAGGCCAGATGAGAAGGAATCAGTGAAAGAACTCTGGAAACATGAAAAGTGAGAGGGAAAGGACACCCCCCAAAAGAAAACAACTCCTTACCAATTGATAGCAACCAAACCGAAAAGACTGAAATGACAGATGAAGAATTTTCAATGCGGATTGTAAGGAGGCTCAATGAAATACAAGAAAAAATAAAAACGCAACACAAAGAAACCACAAAAACAATGCAGGAAATGAATGAGAAATGTACTAAGGAAATCAAATTATTAAAAAAAAATATCAAACAGAACTTCTGGAAATGAAAAATTCATTCAAGGAAATATAAAACACAGTGGAAAGCTTTAAGAATAGGATAGATCAGAAGAAAGAATCTCAGAGCTTGAAGACAACACCTATGAGTCAAAGAGAAAGAACTAAGAAATCATAGGAATGAACAAAACCTATACGAAATATGGGATTGTGTATAAAGGCCTAACATAAGAATCGTAAGCATCCCTGAGGGCAAAGGAGAAAATACACAAGGGTTGGAAAACCTATCTGAGGGAACAATTGAGAAAAACTTCCCTGGTCTTGCTAGAAATCTGCATATCTAGGTACAAGAAGCTCAAAGGACCCCTAGGAGATTCATTGCAAAGAAGCAATCACCATGAAAAATAATCATCAGACTGGCCAAAGTAAACATGAAAGAGGCACTTCTATGAGCCCTAAGGTGAAAACAACAGGTAACTTACATAGGAAAACCCATCAGACTAACTGCACACTTCTCAACTAAGACTTTACAAGCCAGAAAGGACTGGGGCCCCATTCTCAGTCTTCCCAAACAGAATAATGGCCAGTCTAGAATTTTTGTATCATGCAAAATTAAGTTTCTTACATGAGGGAGAAATAAAGACTTTCTCAGATAAGCAAACACTGAAAGAGTTTGTCAAGACCAAACCTGCCCTGCAGGAAGTTCTCAGAACTGCATTATGTAAGACTCAGCACAATAGTCACCTGTTGGTGTAAAATCACCCAAAGCTAAAGCTCAGAGTCCATAAACCATAATGGCTCAAGTGGTAAAATAAATCAATAAAGTTCTCAACATGATGAACAAAAATCCACCCCACTTATCAATTCTTTCAATAATGTGAAGGCTTGAACTGCCCACTCAAGAGACATAGGCTGGCTGAATGGATTAAAAAACATTAATACAAGCCACATATCTGTTGTCTCCAGGAAACACATCTAACCCACAAATACTCATTCAGACTCAAAGTGAAGGGATGGAAAACAATATTCCATGCAAATAGAAACCAAAAGAAAGCTGGTGTAGCCTTTCTCATATCAGATGACAGACTTCAAATCAGCAAAAGTAAAGAAAGAAAAAGATGGTCATTATACAATACTGAATGAAACAATTCAAGAAGAAGACATTAACAATCTGAAATATTTATACACCTAACACAGGTGAGCCCAGATTCATAAAGCAAACCCTACTTGATCTATTTTCCTTTTTTTAAATTTTCTGTTCTTTTCTTTCTTTTTTTTTGAGACAGAGTCTCACGTTGTTGCTCTGGGTAGAGTACAGTGGTGCAGTGATGTCATCATATCTCACTGCAGCTTCAAACTCCTGAGCTCGAGTGATCCTCCTGCCTCAGCCTCCCAGAGTGCTAGGATTACAGATGTGAGTCACCACACCTGGCCCTTACTTGATCTAAACAAATAGATAAACAGCAGCATCGCAATAGCCAGGGACTTCAACACTCCACTGACAGAACGAGACAGATCCTCCAAGCAGAAAATAAGCAAAGAAACGATGGACTTAAATGGAACTCTAGAACAAATGGGCCTAACAGACATTTACAGAATATTCTACCCCAAAGCCATAGAATATATGTTTTTCTCATCAGCTCATGGAACACTCTCTGAGATTGATCATATCCTAGGCCACAAAACATGTCTCAACAAAGTTAAAAAAAATAAAATTATACCATGTATCTTCTCAGACCACAGTGGAATAAATTAGAAATCAACTCCAACAGAAACACTCAACTCTACACAAGGTCATGGAAACTAAACAACCTACTGCTGAATGACAGCTGGGTCCAGGAGAAAATTAAGATGGAAATCAAAAGATTCTTTGAACTAAATGATAAAGGGGATACAAGTTATCAAAATCTGTGGGATATAGCTAAAGCAATACTGAAAGGAAAATTCATAGCTCTAAAATGCCTACATCAAAAAGACAGAAAAATCACAAATCAACAA